ATAAGTCGGGAAGCTTCGACTTGCTCACGATATGACTGCCGAGGATGGTTACGGAGTACTTGGCCGTCGCAAATTGCTAGGTCAAAGGCCTCGGAGAGATAGGGTCGTGATTGTATGAAAGCAGCCGCCTCGGGGTGATTAGGCGGAATGCTAGTGGCACCCATTTCTGAGGAATGCATCGTGATATCCGTGAAAAGAATACGAATTCGGGGGTCGGAATGACCGAAAAGGAGCTTATGACCACCCTTCGAATGTGGAAGACTGATGCCGCCAATTTCGGCCGTGGGAAGACGTTGTCGTATTATAGCGGAGAAGCCTCCTGGAGCTATACAAAGATCTAGAACTTTCGGCGGATCCTTTTCGCAGACAAGTTGAGATAGAAATCCAGTAGCATTTTCCATCTCATCGCCGATTTGCTGCATCATATGAAAGAACCAACGTTGTTCTTTTAGGCCAGCTTCATCTGCTCTTTTGCGCTGCTGCTTGAAGTAGTCATCTCCTGAGGGGTTTGCCCAACCCTGAAATAGTAAGAGAAGAAACAATCTCGAGACTTTTAACACTTACTTCGTCCCTCAGAGCCGCGAGTTCCTTAAAAACTAGGACGCGTTCGCATAAGAACTCCCTTATAAGGCGATTTGGACTAAAATCTTCGCAAGAAGTATCGTCCATTGTGGCCCGTTGTATCGAATCTGCAAATTTTCTCTCTATGCGTTGACAGTATATATAGACATATTTGGAATTTAAATGTTCAGCACCTTTCTGCTGCAAAATACTAATTCAACTTCATGCAGCAACTCAAGCGCGCATGCGCATAACTGCATTAGACAGGATATGTAACAGCGCCGATGCACTAACACATGGCATATCCTTATTAGACCACGTTTCCCCGATGTTTATCGTGCATTGTGGAATTTTACCTTGCTTCTAACACAGACTGGATGGATCGGTGGATAGGAAAAGCAATCTATTAGAGTGAAAACCGTCTTTTAAGTGACTAGCAGATATAATTTTACCGGATATAATGCCCACCTTCGATACAGTTAAGCCGACAGAAAACTACAGGCCATAGCTTGTTTTTCTTTTCTAATATAAATCACGTTAGCTACATGCAACGGAATGAGTTTCCGCTCTGCAGGCGACGAGATGGGCCTATTACTTGATAAATTTTCATTATGCAATCAGGAGACTCCCTCTACCTGCCCCTCAATACATTGTGATTATATGTAATCTATACATCATCGCCAGCGTCTTTCAGTCGGATGTTTCCACGGCGATTTAATTATAACCTATTAACTACCACCTAATCACGTGCTTTATTTGCTTCCCATTAAATTATTGTATTAGACCAATTTATTAAGCGCTGGGATAAACAAGAATCAATCTTTTCATCAGCTCTATCATGCTAAGATGGTATGCGAATAATCCTGGACTGCATATATACTAATTGGTTGGGTTGACGAAATGAATCGAACATCCCTGTTCGCCGTTTATAGACTAGCTCCGGCTGATCCCCTATGGTACGCAACGTTACCTAATTGAGACTATAATTAGACAATAAAGACGTCATCGCTCCTAATAGAAGTTCCTCTCTCAGTAGTTTGTATGCTGCCTTGCCAAAGTATAGGACAAGATGAACAAATATCTATTTGATCTGCTAACAAACTAAGTACACTTGTCTCGAACTTCCAAGACTGACCTCTGTGGTCGAAGTTTGAAGTACGGGAGACATAGTCACACTACTTTTAACTGAGACAAAAATATGCACATCGAAATTCAGAATCTTAAAACAGGGAAATGCGGACGGACATGCAGTAAACGGCTGGGCGCGGAGTAGTTAGCCATTCCGAAGCTAAGGCTCAGCTGATAGTTAGACTGCGTAAGGTATTTCGTAGAACTCAAGTAAGAGCAACTTCATGTTCGGATTTGTTCTCCTAATCGAGAGAGGGGAGTGTTATATTTGAAGGCTTCCCCGCCACATTCTAGCATTGCAATATCCTCAAATCGAAACAGCACGCAACAATTGATACTCCCGCGCAAGATGTCTTCAAAGAATAATGCGTCCAGCAACACAAATACCTCCAAACAAGGGGGGGCTGGCTCTAGATCGACCCCGATGACCCAATCTGACGTATCCAGAATTCAATCCACGCAGGTAGGCATAACATATTTTTTACTTGGTTAGAAAAGGAATTTCACGTGTTGCTTTTTTCTCCTATTATATGTATCAACATAGCCTAATGATGATACAGGCGAGAGGCGGGGGAGACATGTCCTCAAGTAGCTTTGCGTCCCGTGCTCAAAGCGCCGGCGACCGCAACGTGAACGCAGGCCCCAAAAAATAAAGATGGCAATACAGATACCGCAGGGTTGGGTGGAGCTACTTAGGTAATACAGTCATAGCGCAATACAACTCTGCTTCTATTAGAGTAAACTTGAGTGATGCGCGATTTTCCCAGTCAGATATTGTGTGTAGTATGCTATCCTGACGGAGAATCAACTTCTAGGAACGGGACTAGCCAGCCATCAACTATAAATACTGAAAGCTAAGTGATTGCGGCCCTATCACCATGGATCTCTCATTGGAGGATCCTGCCCTTATATTTATAGAAAACTTGCTCTCCTTCGGCCTAAGCGTCCTTGTCCTTATCATCGGAGTCGCCGTTATTCCCATCGAAGAAATAGTTCAGAATTACTGTAACTAGTCCAGTAGTAGCAATACCAATCGCCTGTGCGAAACCAACCACAATCGGGAGACCGTAACCGCCCATTGCAGCGCTCTGTGGAATGGCGAAGGCACTGCCAGCGCCGACGGGTGAGATGACTGACTGTATAGCTGCGGCGGTAGTGCCTGTGTTACTTGGTTAATTGTAAGACCTTCAAAATAGTTGCATATTTGCTTTTTAGTAAAACTTAGCAGATAAGACTCACCAGCAACAGGACCGACAGTAGTGAAGCCAATAGCTGCCAACACGTGAGGGGCAATGATAGAGGCGAGGACAATTGCAAGTATACTCAGGAGGACAAACGCCGTTCGGCAGGGATGAGCCCGAATCCAGTTCCAGACGGCCTTGGCTAAATCTTTGATGGATTTACCAAACTTCTGAAGTAGAGCTTTCAAATCCAACGTCATGAGTAAGTTCTTAAGCTTGGCAACAGATTTCGTAAAGAAGTTACTTGTGGCTGCTGAGAGATTCTCCTGATGTTATGGACGTCGGAAAAGATAGTCTTCACAACGCGCTTGGCGACGCGCATAATGCGCCTGAATGGAGCCATTTGTGTACTACCTATATATTAGCCCCGAGCTTAATAATGTTTTCTCAGTTTTTACGAGACTTACCTAGCACCTACGAGGGTGCAGGTTTATCAAGCTTAACACCATCGTTACGTAGAAGGCGTTGCGATAATTTTGACGTGTTGATTAACATCTAATATTTTGTCGGACTGAGAAGGTTTATATAGTAGTTTCTGTAAGGAAGCGGTATCTACGTAAAATAGGAATGCTGTCAATAACATTCCATGCTGTATGCCTTTTCTCTCCGAACTTTCTCATTTCGGTGAGAGTAGCATACCTTGCCTTAACTTAAGTGCCACTGATAGATCCTCCTTACCACTGTATGCAGTGTTACCATAAGATATATGCTGCTATTTAGAAAGAAACGTTTACTCTTCGGTAGTAGTATTCCTTACGGTTGATTTAAGTGTAAGGGATATAAAGCTATCGTATAACAACTAGCTGAAAGGTGGCGATAATAGCTACTAAAATGCAAGGAAAATAATATAGTACACCAAGGGCTAATACTGACATTCCAACGTCTTCATTCCACCACGTAGCCATGATATGGCTACCCTAACATTTTATATTTACAACGACTTTTAACATTCAATATTCCATTTTTTGGGGCCTACTCATGAAAGGGGCAATCAAGCAGAAGCTCACTATTGAACTTGCACTGTAGATGCCCGGAGCTGATTGACTTAAGCTTCTTGATAACTTACTATTTATTTTTAAGAGCGTTGCATATATTGACATTCCAGCTGATCACGTTTTGTAGCAGGTGACTGAAGAACTACTTTATACGCTTGTAGGCACCTTCTGCGAGCGAAGTTACACTGAAAGTCTTGATCTGCTTACTTCATAGTATTTATTATCTACGCCTTACGGTGGTATGGATATGTAAAAGGGGTTCTCAATTGTAAGAGTTTGTTACCGAGCTGCTACCCGGTGACTTAATGTTCCTACTCAGTATAACAGAGGGCCTCTACTATTAGGCTTCAGAGTCACCTAGCAGGTAGAAGTAACCGAAATAGTTTACCTTGAGAACAAGATGTGTGAGAGGATTAGTAGAAGCCGAAAAGCTACATCGCGAGATTTCTGCTTGTTCCTTTAATCGGTTCATCATAATTGTACCGTATCTTCCCTGCTTTGAATTCTTCAAAAATGGTTTTGAGTGTTTAGTTTTCCAGTAAGTCGACGCACAGCATATCAAGCGTATCACAAAGTGTATGTATGGTACTGGTCGAGTTGCTGAGGAAGGCGCCGGGAATACTGCCGAAAGCCGCTTTCGAGCCCAGCGTACGCAACGTCGAAAAGAAGAATGTCTCCATGAACGGGCTTAAGTTGGTCCTGGCCAACTTTCTCTCGGAGGCTGAGATGTGATTGGAAATAGGGGTATCTTCAAAGGGTTAATGTCGTAGTCAGAATCTCCAATTGTAGTTTTGAGGCTGGCCATATTGAGGTTTGTAGTGTAAAGCTGGCTACTGTCCTCTGTTTTTACTTAATATTTAATAGTTTCTTCAAGCTCCTTTAGATCCGCAAATGACTTACTACTGGTTGCGAAGTTATAGGTAAGTTATTGTTCGTTAGTTCTCCATTAAAATCCAGAAGTAATTTCTTATTACACTTGTTATCATCACATATCGCAGTTGCCTGATAGCGGCATGGTAAACCCCAGCCTACCTCGCTTAAAAATGAGCGATTAGGGTTTCTTCGCTCGGTTCTGACGCCGCAGGCGAGAACGCTCCTGGAGTACTGACGTACCCTAGATAATCCCAAGACGTGTCGGCTTGCTATTGGCTATGTATTTTTCTCCGTGAGGAGAATGCATCTGCACAGTTAACCTATACGGAGAGCTGCAGCTTGCATAGTATAGCGTTATTACCCCGCACGACGGCATAACCGAGCAATGCCTCGATCTCGATGTAGCAAGTATAGAAGAAGGCAACCAAAGTGTTTCTTTGTCGCATCTCTTTCCCTCAGCCTTGAACGTGCTATGGTTCCACACCATCTCAAATTCAGCACCTTGACCGATTTTCTTCTCCGGCACAATGTCAATTCCATATCATGGACAATATTCCCAATCTTTGTCGAACTCTTCTTTTCCTTCTCGAGAAGATCGAAGTCCGCCTCTATCAGAGCTGCTTCCTCCTAGTCAGCTATTTCCTAGAATTCATGCCGACCTTCAATCAGATGCTCCCCTGAGAGTAAAATGGGAATGCATCCGAGCTGTACTCGATTCCGACGTTCCTATCCACGCTATACAACAAATTCTCCAAAGTACTTGGGACGACTATGATAGCCTCTGGGACCAGCTGTCTAAAGTTTTGCCAGCAGAGCGGCCCCGAGTGAGACAGCGCGCAAGCCTTGAGGCGTGGAGGGATGCGACTACGTCATCCGGAACAGTCATGCTACGAGGCTCCTTGGTACTAAGCGGTGACGATTCACGGGGTTACATTACCGCTCGGTTGGACCCTTTATCCCATGAAGAATACGGGAGATCGTTTCGGTTCAGTCGAGCCTTCGGTGGTGATAGGTTTTTGACGATGACCATATCCCTAGCCTACAAGCTCCCGACCAACTGGAAGCAAAACTTCCCTACGTGGTTCAAAAGCTGGCTCAAAGATGGAAAAAATCTTCTTCGGTCGCACGTGGCGTGCTTTATATGTACGTGCACAAGACAAGAAACAATACCAAAGGTGCTACGAGGTCAAGTTTTTCGCCATCAAAGGCACAGGCATCTCTGAAAGTACTTGCATCAAGCACACCCCGGCTTCCATTGAGGATGTAATCCAGTGGTTGATTCCTCTGGATCTTGAAAAAAATAGGAGCGTACTTGCTTGCAAGTTGTACTCTCGCCTTGAACTTGGCTTTTCTAAAACCTATCCAACTGTTGCTTTCCTCCCGGGCCAGATCGATGAAGTTAATGACGCATACGGTAATGCAGCCGACGAGGACACCCGATTTAACGATACCAATCTTGATTGGGCTCCGTTTACAACCTTTATGCATCAGTCGAGCCGGGTTATGACCGATGGATGCGCTCGCATTTCTGTCAAAGCCGCAAGCGCCTTGTGGCAATGTTTTGGGACAGCAGACCCAGTCCCGAGTGTTTTCCAGGGACGCATTGCTAATGCAAAAGGGTTGTGGTTGAAATCTACCGATCACGAAAAAGATGCGAAAGACCCCATCTGGATAGAAACCACAGCATCCCAAAGAAAGTTTCAACGTCATGACGAAGACATGGACGAAGCTACTTTCGACAGAAATCGTACTACGTTTGAGCTTCTGGCTTGGTCAGGCCCACTAGCATCTTCGCATCTGAGCGTCTCGCTTCTCTCTGGCCTTCGAGAAAGAGGAATTTCCCAGTCGTCAATTGCAAAGTTCATTCGCGCTCAGATGGACTTTGAAAAAGATCAATTTTGATGCGCTTGACGACCCAGTCTCTTTGCTGAAATGGACAACGGAGAGGTTCCCTGGAGCTCTATCCGATGACGCCTCTTCACTATTTCAAGGAAGCATGCCGAAACTACTTCTGGAAAGGGTTGCTCGTATGCTTAAGGCTGGGTTTGAGCCGCATACGTGTTACTATCTTTCCTCGCTTTTAAAGAAAGGCATCGCAAGCTGGTTGAATAATCTCGGGAATAAACTACAAGTTCGAGTTCCCCGTTCAACTTTCGCCTTTGGCATAGCTGATTTCCAGCGTGTTCTCCAACCGGGCGAGATCTTCCTTTCATTTTCTCGTGTCTTGCCAGATGCACAGCTCCCATGTCTACACGACATGGATGTGCTCATTGCTCGTTATCCAATGCACCGACCATCAGATGTTCAAAAAGTTCGCGCAGTGTACTATCCTGAACTTGCATCAATTCAGGATGTTGTGATTTTTCCTACCCACGGCCGGTTCCCACTTGCGGAAAAGCTTTCGAATGGAGACTATGATGGTGACCGATACTGGATCTGCTGGGAACCTTTACTGGTAGAAGAGTTTCAGAATGCGCCTCCTCCAGTGCCGGTCGATCCAGGAAGCCTTGGTATACATGTTGACTCAAGGCTCTTTTCTGACGTCAGAAATGTCGAAAACTTTCTTGAAGGAGCTTTTGACTTTCAAACCTCAGAGAAGGTACTCGGAATTTGCGCAAACTACCAGGAACGGTACGCCTATAAGTTTAACACTCTCAGTACGCCTAAGATGGTTCGTCTATCCGACCTCCGAGACCACCTAGTTGATGCACCAAAGAACGGGTATCGATTCGACATGAAAGATTGGAACAA